GGCTGAGTCCTGGACAGTAGTAGTGATGACATCCACCGCCTCGTTTACCTCTTCTACTGTCTGGCACGGCGTTACCGCCGGTAAAGTGGATTCAACGCTAGACCTGTATCCTTTCCAGTCGGCCTTGTGGAGCAAGTATTTACTTGCCGGTGGTTTGGCGGGTGTATCCTCGATCGTGTAAAGCACAGGCCGGTGATCCGACGGTCCATACGGAAGCGCTTGGCAATCCGTAATGGTGTGCAGATCCCTGGTTAATAGCAGGTCCAGCGTTGATGTCCAATAAGGTCGGGCTGAATGCCGGAAAGTGTTTACGCCTGGGTGAAAGACGGCCAACCTAGTCTTGGTGATGTACTTCCCCAGTGGATTGTCGCTACCACACAGCCAGGAAGTGTGTCGAGCATTGAAGTCCCCAAGGACTACATGCCGACCCGTCACCTGGGCATGTTGTAGCAGCAGCTTAACAGATGTCACGGTTTCCTATAGACAAAGGTGAATGTGAATCGACTCTTAAGTCGCACGTCAACTGTGAGTAAGTGAGTTCCCTCGGTTGGTTCCACTGGGTTCGGGACGGATTGTGTGTTTAAAATTTCTCAATGTTTGTTAAGGTGGGAGAAGTAGAAAAAAAGAAGAACGAAATCTTTTAAAAATTAACTTTCTTACAATAATCCGTCATCATATAATCCAAAGATGAGTATTCTATTTCCACCTATTATAAAAAATCTCACTGTTTGATATATCAAACCTACTATATGGTATAACTGACTCAATCAAAAACAATTAATTACTATATGTTTTTTTTTTCAACCCAATCTTTTAATTACATATGTTTTTCGTAACTCTCCAATATCTTTTAGGACTTTCTTAAATCATTGGCTTATATTCGACATAGATAAACTTAATATAGATAATTTTATTTATTATAATACTTTACGCATAATTTTTTTCAAACTGAGTAGATACTCCTTTTTTAATTGAATGTAAATAAAATAATTCTTTTAATTAAATATAAAATGCAGTGTTTCAATGATTTTATTTACTTTGCTGCTACATTATTTTTAGTCTCCAATATTTTTGCTTCAACAAATTTACTTGTTACAAAATTACTTATATAATTAGAATCTTTATTTTAAGCATTAATTTAATTTATTTCAAAAAATAGTTAAATAAAAAATAGTTTAAGTGCACAATGTTATGATTTTACATAAGGAAAATGCTTCATATCACTTACAAACAATAATTTAATAGTTAATGACTATTTGCAAATAATAGGCGATAGATAAGCTGGTGCTTCTTCTTCAGGGCCTGTCGTGAGAACTCGGCTATTCTCGCTGCTTCATTAATCCAAGGTCCGAGGACTCACTTAGTCTAATTTATGCTTTTGTTAGTTATCAATTTCTTTCATAGCTCCTATTTATCCCTTTTTTATAACTACTGATAATGTGAGATTGTTAATTATTTCAAATAAACAAAATTTAAGGCTTTAGAAAAATAAAATTTGAAAACTAGGCATTTAATCCCTGTTAGAATTTAATCGAAATCGTTGCAGCCGTTTTTAATTACATTGTAAAAATATCTAAACGCGATGACATTTTGACAGAAATATAACATCCCACCTACCCCTTAAAGACGTAATTCCATTTTCTTATGACTTTCAGTTTTTAAGCTTCACCGTTACAAATAAGTAAATTAAAAAAAAAATCAGATAACGCTGTACTGCCAACCAAAAATCAAAGACTAATATTTTTATGCGAATCCGAAGATGAATTTTAGACTTTAAGTGCTTATTTTTTAGCAATGCTTCTTAACTGCTGTGATATAATAACGTATTTTTTGTCATTTATCAGAAGCCTAATAACTTTTAAAGTTTCCTGAAAATCTGTCCAAAATTATAGGGGAAAATGATGAGCTACACAATTTTAAATTACGACAACACTTTTAAATTTCTATAAAAAAAAAAAAAATTTTACTATTGAAATAAATAGAAAAATATGTAAATGGTACGGTCATTCATACACCTGCCCTCAAGTTTATCTTTATCGTACAGATTTAACAATCAGATACAATACATCATTTAGGATGACGTTTGAGGTAATAATAGCTTGCGGACATTTGGTAACAAAAGGATATGACCTCTATGCATCTGAAAAGTGTTGGATATTAAAACTTAAAGATAAAAATATCCAATTTTTAAAATTTAAAAACCAGGCATGCCCTTTACCATTAACCTATGTATAAGTACGTAAGAAACATTAAACTACAATTTAATTCTACGTTGATATAAGGAATTTAATCGAAATCTTTGGAGCCGGTTTTAATTACATTGTAAAAATGTTTAAAAAATATTTTGACAAAAATATAACATCCCACCAATTCCTTAAATATGTAATATCATTTTCTTATGACTTTCAGTTTCAAAGTTTGACTGTTATAAATGAATAAATTTAAAAAAAAAAATCAGATAACGCTTTACTGCCGCCTACCAAAAATCAAACACTGATATTTTTATGTGAACCCGAAGATGAATTTTAGACTTTAAGTGCTTATTTTTTAGCAATGCTTCTTAACTGCAGTGATAAAATAACGGAATTTTCGTCATTCATCAGAAGTCTAATAACTTTTAAAGTGTCATGAAAATCTGTTCAAAATTATACAGGAAAATGATGGGCTACATAATTTTAAATTATGACAACAGATCAACTTTGTTTGCCTTTTGTTTGAATTTAATAAATGTATTTCAATTTACACAATTTGGATTTTATTTAATAAATACGAATTTAATAGAAAGAAGCTAGAAGTGTGAGAAATGAAGGTGTAATGATTAATTAAATACTTAAATAAATAAATAAAAAGCGTTGATTTATTTTTAAATCATTATTAAAACAAGTATAAATACTTTTAATCCTTTTTGTTAACATACTTCCCATTACCCAGAACAATTCGGTTTTTTATTTAGCCTTCCACAGGCATTAATGGATTATAGCATACTTAACAAATTTTAAATATATTAATAACAATTTGGATTGCCATTTGAATTTTCACTGGGTTTATAGCTTTATTTCTCATTTGATTCAAGAATGTAATTTTTACTTTGTTTGACTTGGATTAAGGATTTTATAAATAAATAATTTGAAAACGAACCGATATTGTTTGTCAGAGTCTTTGGTATCTATGAATGTTAAAAAATAAAATAAAAACAATGTTAAATAAAAAATCAGTTAACTGTCTTAATTTTACGTTTATTAGGTTTTTTTTTTTTTTTTTTTTTTTTTTGTTTTACAAGTAGATTAGTTTAGGATTGAAAAAATTAAATAAACGTCAACTTTGTAAAGTTCATAAAATTATATTTTTTATGCTCTTATCGTATTCTTGAATTCAGAAAAATATTGAGGAAAAACGTAAATATGATGTAAAAAAACCAATAGCCTGTATTCGAAGAGTGACTCTGCATTTTAACTTATCTTGTTTTTCTGCCTAAATTTGGCCCGTGGTCGACAAACATAAATTGTCTTAGCTTACTTTTTCGTTAATAGCATTCTTAAATTCAAGACAAATTAGTGGAAACATTGGAATATTTCCAGCCAAGAATTCATTCAATCAGTTAAACGCAGCTAAATCACGCCAGGCGAACTGTGGGTGTGTCTGTCATTTGGTTTGGAGGAAGTAATTGATATCATGGCCTCATAATATTTATTTATTTATCATTTTTATTTAGTTCAGAAGAAAAACAAATATATGTCATGGTCCTTTTATCCCATGTGTATCCTTTCTTATTCCACTGAAATATCCAAGAAACAGAATAAGATCTTGAAGTGAATTTTAAATATAATTGGTAAATCAAATCCAATGGGTTTTCTAGCATAATGAAATATAAATTCTAATAAAATACGTTTAAATAAATTAATTTTAAGCACACTCGTTCGCAATTTATATTTACCATTGTGCAGTTTTGATCACTATTTAAAAACTGGAAGGTGTTTTGCAATGATTCGTGTTCTATTCCCTGTTAATATTTATTCCTTAGCGGTCTCAGAAAAGTCTGGCAACTAATGGACAAATATTCCACAAGATGCATTAGTTAGTAATGTTAATTTACATTATATATTATTTCATATTAAATAGAAATATTACGAGTTTTCATAATGAAAATATATCTTATCAGCTTGTAATTTGCATACAATGGTCTGGTGAAATTAATACCTGAAGAAATTCTTATCAGAAAGGAAACCAAGATTTCTCTTTTCTTAAAAATGCGTTGTCATATTGAAAACGAGATTACATAATTTCAAGCATCATACCATTTTAAACTAAATATTTTCATACAAAATATGTTCATAATTACAATTGATATTTTTTACTGTTATTATTTCTAATATTTAGGGCTTATTACTGTTTACTTAACAAAAATTGTAAAATATATACGAAAATGGACATTTTTCGTTGGTAAGACTGTCAGCATATGATAAATGGAAGGAGGAACCTAACTGTCCTTGGGGCTAGACCGTGGTCGGTTCAGTTTATCTTGTAGTACTCGTTGTGTTGTGAACTCCGTTATTAACAGAAATGGCATCAGAAACTGCTATATATCGCCTTGAAGAAGTGAGGAATAAATGTGATAGCAAGAATACGTGGATTGTTATTCACAATTCTGTGTACAATGTTACTGAATTCCTTAACGAAGTAAGTCTTGATCTCCAATGCGTCTTAAAAGATTTCAGTGTTCTAGGGTTTAATTAATTGTAATTAAAATTTAAATTCAGATGTTACTTTGGAAAAAAATATAAATTAATCGGTTTTATAATTATAAGATCATTCTGTAACCTAGTCATGATTTCAATTTTGTGTCTACAATCAGAATTAGAATGAACAAATTAAAGTATTAACCATTTTTTGTTTATAAGTAACTTAATTCTCATATTATGTTCTAACTGTGTCTGTTTTTGGAGTTCTTACTGATATCCATAATGCAATCCGTTGTATTCAAATACCATTAACTATTTTAGCATCCTGGTGGTGAAGAAGTACTCTTAGAGCAAGCTGGCCGGGATGCTACTGAAGCATTTGAAGATGTTGGTCATTCAAGTGATGCTCGTGATATGATGAAGAAATATAAAATCGGTGAACTTGCTGAAGTAAGTTTTGTTATTAAATTTACGATGATTTCAGTTGTCAAATTGGGAATTCTAAGTTTTAAATATTCGGTTCTCTTTTCAGGAAGATAGAGTAAATATTGATAAGAAATCCCCATGGACCACATCCAATGACGATGCACCCAGTACTTCTGGAAATGGGTTAGTGATAAAAGTATTATTTTGATCTTATCTTGGAAGTAGTAATAGACTCATGCATTAAATTAGTGATAGATAGTGATTTAAATGATTGTTTAGGCTTATCATGAAAAAGGCTTGTGTTTATGCTTATCAGGAAAACAGTTTGGGTAGTAGTAGCTTTTATTCATTTTTTTTTTTAATTTCTTCAACATTAATAATTTATATAACAATAAAGGGTCATTAATAAAGATTTATTGCTTCTGAATTTATATCTTTTGTATTAGATGTAAAAGCAATACAATATTTAAGTGATTTACTTAAAATTTTAAAAGACCAATTGATGCAAGGCCATTTAAATTATGATATCTTTAACAGTTAACTGATTGATTAGACTCTTGAAGCCAAATGTAATATGACTCATTTTTATAGCTAGTTCCTATTTAATATCTAGTTCTTTTAAAAAAAATAGTTTTCTTATGGTTGCATGCTGCTATAAATTATCATGAGTATTTTTTGTTTAAAATTGTTATATTTTTATTAAAATTGTGGACTGATTGAAACTATCTGGTTGTATCATGTGAAGAATCAATTTTTCGTGGTAACATTTAAAATAAAACATTCAATTCTTCTGCTGACCAAGGCTTTTATTTTCTTCTTTTGACTTCTCTAAAATCTAGGTCTGACAATGAAGAGGGTTTATCAAGAATTTCTAAAAAATTTAGTCCATGGTACCAAACTATTAACATCCTCCTAAAATCCACGAATATCTTTATCTCATCGTAACCTACAACTTTTTTGTTTACAAAAATTCTCATCATTGGGGTGATTTAAATTGGGGGTCCGGCAAACTTTTTCTTCTTAATTAGGTACTTAAAACTCATGAACACCCATTTGCTTTCCACTTGAATTGTGAGATACGTTTATCACAAAACAGAAAATAAAGATAGCCAACAAAAATATTGGGCCGTTTGGCATGACCTCCCCCCTTAATATGTCTAAAAAACAAGGTTATAAAGACCAAGTGACCCAATATTTTTGTAGTCCATCTTTTTTTTCCGATTTTGTGATCTAATTATTTTACAATTCAAGTGGAGATTTTTTAGTGCCTAATTTAATTAGTTAATTTAGTGTTAAAATGCCCCATTTCTGAGAATTTTTGCTGATAAAAATTTTTTAATTTTAAAGAATATGAGTCATATTTTTGGTTACAATAAGATTTAGCCATTCACCAAGTTTTAGGCAGATGTTAATAATTTGAAAAAAAAGAGGTCTGTACCATGGATTATTTGTATTGTGTCAGTAGTTTTAAATTATTGAGGTTCTTTTTATTATATTCACCAATATTAAAGTGGTTATTCTATTTTAATTGTTTGGATATTGGATAACTTCAATTGGAAAATCTTATTGAATTTACAAAATTATACAAGTTATTAAGATTTAAGTTTGTACTCTATTTTTTTTCTTTCACTTATATATATATATGTTATGTATAGCAAGGGTAAGTATTGCGATCGTGAATTTTTTTTAATCTGAATTTTCAACGGAAATACACATTTTGGGGTACCCCGAGTCCAAATAACCAAGTCCCGAAAAATAGTCTCTGTGAGTGTATTTTAGCAGTCTAGCTCAAAAACGAAAAGTCATAAGAAACTGATATTACATATTTATGATAGGTATATGCCTTAGATGTCCTGGCAACTTTTTTCTTAAAATCGGCTAACCGGAAGTGCCACTTTATATCTATGCTGAAACAAATTTTTACAATTGTCTCAAATTGTCTCAAACAGCTCTAAATATTTTGATTAAACTCGGTGTATCATTGTATAATTAAGTCGTCTTTAATATCATTTAGGTCTTATCCCCGTTGATGTCACTTTACAGGGCTTAAATGCCGAATATTCATATGCGTCTTTCTCTAAACTACCTTTAATATGGTTTATTTTAAATAAATAACTATCTCTCATTATTAAGAGTTACAAAAAAGTGCTAAATATAACTTTTGAAAGAATTTAATAATTGACTAAAGGAGAAAAAAATAAAAATGCTTATCCAGGTTGAAAATGAGCCTCCGGAAATACTAGTCAGAAGGTATACATATAATATATCATTGAAAAGCGGAGAATTTTAGAAATAACAATATCGAATATAGAAAGTTGTATAAGGTTACGGAGAATGGCAAAAAAATTATAAATAATAATTTTTGAAAACTAATAATATTTAATGTAAATCACATCTTTTCAAGGAAATAAATGAATTTACTGACTAAATGTAAACTTTTAAAATCAACCTAATCAAGGCAATGACATTGTTAAAAACACTATTCCAATGTACTTGTGTGAAAGAAGAAGTAAAATATAAAATCATTTCATGGATGTATAAAGCATATGTTTATAACCTTATATATATTTACTGTAGTTTAATAATTCTAGATCTGATATAATATTTAAATAATTAGGTATCAACGTCCGTTTATTCCGAAATATTGTCATGTAACTTTTTAGAAAATTAAATTAGTGAATAATGTGATGAATCTTCCCTTTGTGATATTCCAACAGTATCCATTACTATTTCATTGCACTTATGTGAAAGAAATGAAAAATATTTCATAGATGCGTTATAACCTTAAATATATTTACTGTAGTTTAAACTAGATCTGATATTATATTTAAATATTTAGGTATCTATCATCCGTTTATTCCAAAAAACTATATTAAATTAAGGAATAGTTTGATGAAATTTCCTTTTGTGATATTCCAACAGTATCCAATTACAATTAGTGTGACAACTTTTGAACTGTTTATGGCAGACAATGCAAATATCCTTGTTCCGTTTTAGTTAATTTAGCAATGGAAAATAACAGTTTAATAATCAATAGCCACTCAATCCGTAATCAACCGGAGATATGATAAATAGAATTTTTATTATTTTAATGGTATTTATTTTTTTTTAGCTTTAGCTCGTTCAAAAATGCAATTCAAAAATTTTATAATAACCTAACATTGCCAGAATATAATTTATATTCAAGTAGAGCGGTAAGTGAAAGTTTTGTGTTGTGTGCACCAGATTTTTAATTTAGTAGTCAATTGTTATCACATTTGGGTGAATCCTTGGAAAAACATATAAGTTTTAACAGATTGGATTAAAATCTTGTATTTTTTCCATTTTTCTTGTTTTATCTCCCTCACTCCTTTAAGATGTCGGTACTAATAAAATAAGAGGAGCAAAGTGGCATTATTCAGCTATACCTATTTTATCAGATATTCATTTTTTAGTATAATATTTGACCATGTGAGAGAGAAAAATATTATATTTCAGTCGAAACTTTTCTAAGAATCTCAGATAAATAACCTTCAGACCTATGTAATTAATCAAGAAGCACAGAAACGCCACACTTTTGCATACAGATTAGATTTGTTTATTTTTTATTTTTTTTTTTTTGCATAATCACTTAAAAATATAGATTGAAACCTTCTCGTTAATGAAAATAAGTCAAGAAATTTAAAATCCTTCCTTAGAACCAATCTTCTCTCACTCACCTGGTTTCTTAGTAATCTATAGAGGCTAGCAGAAGGATCAATTTCAGTGAAAACATTATTTACTATCAGACGAATAATTGAAAGAATAAGTCATGTGAGTGTTCTTGTTTCTTCCATATTGAGGTTTAACTTTAGTTATTGAAACCTTAAGATATTTTAAGAGAATATATTTTCATTGAGCTTGAGAATGTTAGTCGAATGCTCAAAAAACTATTGAAGTAGTAAAATCAGGGAGTCGGACGGCCAGGGAAGAGAGGTTTTTTATGTTTCATTACTAATTTAGAAAGTCATTATTTTTTGTAATGAGGGTTATAGAACAAAGGGAGTACTTCCAAGAAGTACTTTTCCCCTTCAAAAAATAGTAAGTAGGAGGTTCAAAAACACCTTGGGACAAAAAGAATATGATGGTCCATGGAATCATCCATCTTTTCCTATTTTATTATGTCACCCTTTATTGTTTTATCATGACTAGCATTTCATATGATACAACCAGATACTAGTATTAAAACTAACTGGATTTTATTGAAATATATTGTGTAAATGTTCTTTACTTTTTTTCTTAAGCTGGATGTCTTGGCTGGCTCCACTTGTTCTTGGTGTTTTGGCTACGCTCGTCTACAGGCATTTCTTCTTGAATCAGTAAATTGACAAATGAGAACTACCTCAAATAGTGAATTAACTACTCAACACATTTTATCTCCTTCATGTGTTATTCTCTTGTCCTCCTCTACTCTGTCATTTAAAGAAGAACATATTTATAAATGTATTCATATATTATGTAATATAATATTTTAAAAGACTCATCAGGAGATAAGAGTTGCATGGTATTCAATGTCCATATAACTGTAATTTATTATGAATTGTATGGTGCAGTACTTTTTTTTAAAATCAAGAGTCATTCCATTGTCTTGAAGTTCAATATTTTTTTTTTTATTATTTTTATAAAAGTTAGGCTAGAGAAATTTTGTTGTCTTGAAGTAAAGACATTAATCTGTTGAGGTTGTAAAATTTTTTTTATCCTGTTTTCTTTTTAAATTTTTAGTTTGGTGTTTTTGTAAGTTGAGATATTTACATTAAAGGGGCCACTGTTGAAAACAATTGTTACAAACTAAACCCATACTATTGTTACTTGTAGTTAGCCATGTGCATTATTTATAGCATGTTAAAAGGTAATAAAGTTGTTTCCTACAATTATTCACTTTATTTTTGTATCCTGTTTAAAATACCTATGCAACTGAGAAAAAATAAACAGTAAGAAACCAGTAATCCAAACTTGGACTGAAGTAGATTTGAAAAAAGAAAAAGAAGTAGTTATTACTTATTATCATAACTTTTTAAATTGATCAGCTGCCAGAAGACAGTTTTGTCATTGAAAAGGTGTTACACGAATCACTCTACTGACTAAAGGAAGGAGATGGTCCGGGGTGGCGGTCATAAATAGGCTAAAGTATTTTATTAAAAGCCAGTTCTAAGTGGAATTCCTAGCTGAACACACCTCCCTGAACAAGACCTGCAAAGTTGGGTCGAAACACTGGCTTTTAATAAAATAGTTTTGCCACTATTTAGCCTATTTATGACCCCCACACCGGACCATATCCTTCCATTATAATGCAACGGTCAACTATTAAATATTCGATATCACTACCTACTGTTTAACATTTTGTTAGATCAGTGGTTATCAACCGCTGTTCTGCAGAATAGTGGAGTTCTGTGAACCTCTTCCTGATTTCCCCAAAATAATTTTTTATTTTGTGCAGATTTGTTAAATTTTCATGTAATCTGAATGTTTTGATAAAATCAATTTTTATAGTTAGTAATGATGACATACACACCGTATGTATGACATACATTCAAACTAAAAAATTTACCAATAATAAGATTTGGAACTTTGATTTTATTTGCACCCTTTATACATAATAACATTACTAAATGTGTATTGTAATAGATATTGAATACAGAATTAAGCTTTGTTCTGTTGACAGTAATATTCCTGTCATTACAGAATATTTATTTGATCAATCATAGACAAAGTTTGATCTTTTATTCTACAATTTTTATTAAATGTATTTCAAATTGCAAATAATTAATGAAGAGAAGAATAGTTGGGATGATCAGCCAAATAAGAAGGCAAAAATAAATGATAATATTTATTTATGTCAAAATAAATATTATTTATTTTTGCCTTCTTATTTAACTGATCACCCCACCCCAACTATTCTTCTCTTCTTTATTCACGACAGTCAACCATTTACCCACAATTACAAATACTTAAATGTTTCAGTTATAAATCTTCTTCAGTAACCTCTGCTCATCTATTTTCATAGCTTAAATAATGCTATAAATCTTTCCAAAATTTTCTTTGTACTGTCATTTTCATTTATCAAAGACAATTATTACTTTGAAACCACAATTAATAAAAATGCACTTAAATTGAATTGAACAAATAATTTAAATTAAATATATCAAACTTTATTTTAAAACAATTTATTAGTTTGGTGTATTCAATATAAATTATTGTTATATTTTTATGAAAATTGCAAAACCAAGAATACAATTAGTGATTTAAGTTGACAGCAGTAGTTATTGTAATAAATTTTGCTGAAGATTACTAATTGCCAAAAATTTCAAATATTTGTGATTTGAAATTGACTTATTAAAAATTTTTGTACAGATCAATTTTTTTTATTTTTATTATTTACATCAATTTTATCTATAAACAACTGAATATCACCATGGAAATGGTCCGATTTCTCAGCCCTTTCTCTCACCATCAATGGGCAAAAGAAATCACTTTTCACATGCGGCCTTGCTCATTTCTGTACACTTTATTGTTTTGTACTCTTAATTTTCTTGTGATGATTAAATATTTTGTAATGATTAATCAAATTATCTAAGACGAGGACTTAAGAGAAGTTTGGTCAAGAGCTTGAACAAAACCATAGAGAGAATATTAGGAAGTTCTAGCATATTACGAAAGCCTTGAAGGGTAAGAGGTCAAAACCGGTCAGGAACCTTAAAGACATGCATAGGAAGTTAGTAATTGAAGAAAAGAAAGGTCTGGAGGCAGTTCTTCCAGAGAAAATTTAGGATGGAAGAACGTCTTTATCATAACTACAAAGACTGCAGAATGAGAGTTAGAGTGGATGACACTTATCCTGCAGATATAGATGATGCGATCGAGGAGGTCGAGGTGGAGTTGGCAGTCAACAAAATCCAGTCAGGAAAAGCTCCAGGACCAGATGGCATAGCTCTGGAATTTGTAAAATATGGAGGCAATGAAATTATTAAATGTCCCCAAATGCTATTCCAAAAGATTTGGGACCTTAAGTTGCTGCCATGAAAGTGGGAAAACAATATCGTAATCCCAATTCACAAGAAAGGTAACCAAAGTGAATGTGGTAACTATAGGTCAATATGCCTGTCCTCAGTTGTGTACAAAATATAATCTAGGATATTAGAGCAGCGACAAGCCACATAAACATAAGTAGGATAACATCAGCAGAAATGAGATTCCTTCGAAGAATAGTTGGTAAGAACAGGATGGACTGCGTCAGAAATGGAAAAATTCTGGAGGATCTGGATGTTAGTTCAGTGGACGACACCATGCAAGAGGGACAACTAAAATGGTATGGATGAAGCCAGGAAAGCCAGGTGGTTTTTGGAAACAAGGCTGAAAGGAAGACGCCCTCGTGACAGACCCAGGTGCATATATTCTAATTACATTGGAAAACTGGGGGCAGCAAGAGGATGCACCATCCTGGAGATGAGAAGACTAGCCAAGGACAGGGACCAGTGGGCTAGAAAGACTAAGACTACAACTCCATGCTTGACGGCACACAGGAGTTAGAGAAAGAAGTAATGGTTAATAAGTTATTGTAATAATGGCCGTCTTTTGTGCACTACAGTTATTATTTAATTTGGTTATAACAATATAATACCTTAATTCTGGATCTCAATAGAAATTGGAATGATCCATTATTATATCAACTCAATTAAGTTTTATTAGAAAATTTTATTAATTTAACAGTAGTTTCCTGTTTAAGACTGTCTTTTAAAATTAATGTTTTTCATTATAATACATGTGATTCCCATAGCATTTTTTTTTTCTCAGAAAATTTACAATTTATATAACAGAAATAACACTTATTCTAGGTTATATATTAAACAGGATAATTTAGTGATATATAATGAGCACATTGAGCTCAATATATGTTTCATATCCAACTGATAAAATATAGATTTGTGAAAAAATAGTTTTGAATCAATTGTATTAAATTTTAAAACATTTAATCATATTTTAGTATCATCATCATCATGAATGACTCTACAACTCCTGTAGAGTCAAGGCCTCCCGCAATTTCAATCGCCAGTCCTCTCCAAGTAACGCTGCTGCCTTCCAGTTGTGAACACCAAGGATACTTCGGACGTTGGCTTTCACTCCATCAGCCCATCTGAGTCTTGGTCTGCCTACCCGCCGTGTGAAGATCCGCTCATCCATCAACTTCCTTAATACATGTTCAGACATACGGTATAGGGTAAACATACAGAGAATGTGTCCTGCCCATCTCAACCTGCCAATTTTCATTAACATCACAACATCGGCTTCTTTATATAGCTGCATCAGCTCATTGTTGGATCGCATTCGTCACTCCTGATTAATATTTATTATTGGGCCGAATATTCTTCTTAGGACACGACATTCAAATCGAAGGAGAGCTGTTCCTTGGGCTCTTGACATTGTCCAGCACTCAGACCCCCCATATGTTAGTACTGGTCTGATCACGGTTTTGTATAGGAGCAGCTTGGTTTTACGAGAAATCACACTACTTTTAGATGTCCCTGGAGACCAAAATAAGTTTTATTTGCATCCATGATGTCTGTATTTCAGAATTCTTGTCGTTATCATATTTTAGTACTCTAACAAAATTAAATTGAGTTTTTTTTTTTTTTGCCTGTTTACTTCAAATTTGTCTTCATGATTCTTCTTTAGTAGCTTTTTGGAGCTGTTATTAGCGACAGTAGTGATCGTTTAGTTCTCTCTTCTTCAAGATATCCAGGGAGCATATGGTTTACTAACCGGATGCGATCACAGTTCACTCCCTCATCATCAGTAACTTTCTTGAAGGATGGTTGGTATTCTTTTGCAGCAATCTTCTGTCCAGTTTTTTATGGGATACGGGATTATCAGCCCTATACCCAACCCCCAACCTTGAGGACCAGAAGCTATGTTGTAAGACACAAGGGTTGCTCACCTCCCTATGAATCTCTGGGTGAGGACGTTACCATCTCCATGCAGGAATCAAACCCGCTCCGTAATGGTCTAAGTAGTCGAGTAGGGTCTGCACTTATTAGTTTTAATTTATTATTAATTATTTATTTCATTTGTTGTGTTATTAATTCCTTTGAATGCAGACGAAATATATGCCTTCCAGTTAAGAGTTGGGTCACTGGTGCGGACGAGATATATGTCGTACCGGTAGTGAGTTAAGTCACTGGTGCAGCCGGGATACATACCTTCCCACCTGGGCGTTCACCAATTAAACAGGCCTTCACCATTTGACTTGAGGCTTGGTCGATGCATTCATTAGTCCCTTGTAGCTGACTCAGTGCGGATTCTGACCATTTGGAAGCTATAAGTTGCTTTATTCTGAACCTAAGGTATGTCCTTTCTCTGTTATTTGTGTCATATCCTCATCATCTTATTTATACTCTATTCAAATGTTTTATACATCAAATAAATGTTAATAAGTTAATTTTATAATTTTTTATTATTTTTTTTTCCAACTGAATGCTGATTTTGGTACCCATGAATCTCTGTCTATTAAACAAATAAATTTAAGCTTCCCACATTTTTATGTATATATATATATATATATATATATATAATGTAAAAATATACAAAAATTAAAATGTAATAGCAAAAATTAATAAATATAAAAATATATAGAATTAAAGTGATACTTTTTTACAGATTTAAAATGTTTTATCATTTTTCCTTCCACCTAAAAACAATATATATATATATATTTCATATAATATAAAAGTGTTTGAAACTAAAAATAAATGTCAGTGCAATAATACAATTTTTAACTGTGCTATTTAAGGCTGGTCCAGACACTCTGTTTTATACGTTTTGACTGCTCAGTCTTAAGACCGAATGAAAACGTTGAAATTTTTAGAGCGTCCACACGGTACACACATATCTGTATATTTTGTTCAGTTTTGTGTAAGATCGTCATGGAGGAGGTACTGCTCTGGTCAATTTTCACGATGTGTTGAATGATTTTCGCTGTTCTTGTTGAAAAAAAAAAGATTAGAACATTCCAGAAGTACCTGGTGTTCAAAATGGCTATGGACTAATCACACATATACTTATTTATTGGAATTAGTGACGTCAAATGCACGGGAAACTTTCATACAGAGCAATAAAATCGGTTAAAAACTCTCTGCCGAAGGCCAGCCATTGTCCCCTGACGAATTGAAACTGAGTAACAAACTGAATGAAAATAAAGACAAGTCGGCGCAGTTCAAGAAAATCTATGCTCTCTGTTTTAGTTTTACTAAAACTGTACCATCTTTGAAACGGATTCAAAACTGCAGTTTTCCAATCCACACGCAAGGTTTTGAACTGCTCAGACAAAACGTTGTGCAAAACGGAGCATCTGGACCAGCCTTTACTTTATGGGACTTTTTTAGGTAAGAAAAAAATTATAAATACAAAGAAATATATAATTCAAATCCTGGCATCGGTATCCTTTTTTAGAAATAATATAATTTAATTTTTATGATCACTTACAATTATTTTTATGGTAATTTTCTGTTATTTTGATTTTCAGAAATAACCAAATAGGCAAGAAAGTGAAGTATTGTGGGATTACCGCTCTAGTTTTGTATTGTCATATATCTGCATATACATCCGCGGGAAGGCATATATTCTGTTTTTTAAAAGTTGAATAAAAACCTTAAAATGCATTCTGTAAGGCTGGGATTTTAAGGAGTTATCCTTTTTTTTCTCTCTCTCTTTAAGGGATAACTGAGATCTCAGATCTATGCCGATCTTGAATAATAGATTTAAAACACCAAATACTAAGGATCTATTTTTCAATCTTGCACTGAAATGGATCTTTTTCACAATTTTCCACCAAAAAAAAAAAAATTGTTTTGTAATTTTGGACAAAAAAAGATCTCTGCTAGGATCTTCATTCAGAGTTTGATTCAATTGAATATATTCAAGAATTATTGTGTATGCTTTTATGCTTAAATATCTAATTATATAAATTTAATGGAAAAAAAATAAAATCTTTGTTGCTTATGAATATTTGTTTAGAAAGCATTAGTAATAAATATACAAGAAAACAAACATCTTTGTTTTGATTCTGATGAAATTATCAATTTCCTACTTTGATCCAGAGAAAGATTGGCTGTTTATACAGGGCAATTCATTTGATTCGATTGCCTGTGTTAATGCAGTACAGTCTACAAGAATATATAACGTGAATAATTCCCTTTTATAAAATAAAAAGTGAATTATTTGTAACTGATTATATGGAGGATTTAATATAATTTGGTTGAAATCTGAGATAATACATTATTTTTGAAGAAATTACAGAAGAATCCATCGGCTTTTGGAGTTTATGGATCTGTTGGATGAAATCTCAGTGTTGCTATATCTCAATTTACTTAACATATTTATATGTTTACTTTCTATTTAAAAGTTCCTAAACTCAGTACTGAGGTTATCGATGACATTGAATGCTCAGTCTCTCTAAACTGAGCGAAAAGACATTATTGATCAGCTCAGCGCTGAATTCAGGAACTTGTCTATTTATATCTGTTTTGAAATTCAACAATTCAGAAGGTGGGTATTTCTTTTAAAATATTTTTGTTGCTCTTGTGTTTATTAAATCTTCAGGAATATTAATCTTCTGATGGAACATATCAGATCGTTCCTAAACTGAGCTGTCCATTGCTGCTGGATTTAGTTGATCGATGGAATTAGCGCTTTGTTTAGGAATGTACTCTTTTTGCTATTAACTAATTAACTGTCAATTCTTGAAATTATAATTTTTGTAAATATGGTTTAATATTCCTACTCAGTTTTACCATATTTATTTATGTTTTTCATGTGTGGCAGTGTTTAAGTTCTACAAATACTTTTGTATCTTTGTACCATATGATATTGTTAATAAAAGGTGTAAGTTCTTTTTTAAATCTAAAAATTGACTATCATCTATTTCTTCGTAAATTTAGATCTTCAGATCTTGGTCGTGGTAATAGGGTACGTGAAATTGATCGGTTACATGTATATAAATATTTATGTATATTATTATTAATTAATAAAAAATATGAAATATCTTTTATTGCCATCAAATTAATCAAATATACCCTATTGTTAAAATCAAATTACATGTTTTTCCCATTCTCTCTTGAATGATTCTATAAATTAAATAATAACTTATTAATCCTTAAAAAAGATTTCATTAATAGAGGAAAATTAAGAGTAACATCCAACTCTTTCCAGATAGGCACTTAACATTACTCTTTCAACTGCATATCTATGTGAGCAAGGTTTTTCAATGTTTTCTAGCTTAAAAACTATTGAAAGGGAAACAAATATACACCTACGTAATGTGGAAGATAAAAGGAGAGTAACATTCTCCCATATGAAACCAAATACTGCAGATTTAAGAATACCTCATTAAGCTCAAATATTGCATTAAAATCATTGATTTTGTGATGTTATATTGGGTGATTTTCATCAATAGAGAAATCTTTATTTTTATTTATAAAATCAATTGTTCATTACCTTGTTACACTTTTTTTTTCAAAAATAAAACCTTTATTAAATTTATAGTACTTCAAAAGAATCATATTAATATTATCAACTTACTACCAGTGGTGGTGTCTGCAATTTCCCTACTATTAATGGAATTATTCTATCACCGCAACGAAGTAGGGAACATCTGGGTTAGATGTTAGTTAAATTCAATAATTTAAGATTAAAATAGGTGAATATGATTACCGAACTTTTGATTGCGCTATAAAGTGAGACAATAGGATTGGGGTGACCAAACGGGATAATGCATGTGATAAACTGAAATTATAACTTGATAAAAAAAATACGAGTTCGCGTCATGTTGCTTTTAACTCTGATATTAATCCCCTGGTCTGGGATAAAGCCCATATAGTTGAAAGGGTGAGACAATAGGCTATTTAGTTTTTTATAGTATTAAATTTTAAGTCCCAAAATGTATTCAAATTAGAATACTAGTTAAAATCATTTTTTCCTTCATCTTTATCTATTTCTCTTTCCCTCTTATATATGCTGGGTTTATTCTTATCTCTGTATAAGTTTACTTCCATCCTTTTTGAAAAAAATCTTCATCATCTGAATTTTCTCAAAATTCTTAAAGCTATTCCAAATAATCGGTTTGTCTTCAGAAAACATCATTTCACCACACAGCAATGCCATCGATTGGTTGATTATAATTTCAGAAGTTTAAAATGGAAAAACATTCTTTTGGCATTTTCCTGGATATCACTCAAACTTTTTATAACAAAATTTTGCTTTCCAAGGTAAAAATTTTACTCTCTTCTCAGACCTATTATTTGACATCACTTTCTTCCTTGACAAACACTTTACTGTACAAATTATTACTTTAAAATGTTGTAGAGCAGGGCTCTACAAAGTACAGTTCACGGGCCTGCAAATACCTCCAATCTAACCCACAAATGTTTCTTTTATTATATGATAAAATTTTAAAAAATGTTAAATTTAGTAAATTATTCAAACACGAGGCTACTGCTAGATTTATTGTATCAGTTGTTTTCCTCAGAAAGCTCATAACACAACTAAATCGTCATTTATAGAACAAGCTTTTTTTTCATCACAAGCCATGGTCCGCAGAGCTCAGTAGAGGTATCAATGCGGCTCACGGGACTTAGTGGAGCTCTCAATGTGGCCCATCTGCCAAAAAGTTTTGAGACCCCTGTTCTAGAAGTACAACCAAATCTATTCTAACCAGAGTGGGAAGGTCGAGATTCATTCCGTTATTCTACCACAAAATCTATTTCAACCCTGTTCAGGTTCAATCAGATTCAAACCCATACTATACTAGTGAATGTCAAAGCAAGCAATGCCTTACCACGCTCAGCCATCACAGCCCCTTCTAAAATGGAATAGTCCTGTCAAATTAGCCAAAACAGGAGAAAAAAAAAACTATGAAGTTTTGAAACTTGGCAAACATACTTACATATTTGTTTTCTATTGGCTGTAGTTTTGGAGATAGAGTTGAGGAAATTTAAAATTAAATTTTTAGTTATTTGGCAATAATAACTTCCAATTGGTAACAATTGAGTATATTTCTATTATCAATGTTACATGTTAACAAGTTAGTTGACGTTTCGGGATATTTATTCCCATCTTCAGTTCCGAAGATTGCCAAATAACTAAAAATAAATAGACAACTTCCCAGAAAAAATAATTAAAATTAAATGTGTTTTTGCCACCCTCTTCCAGTCCTGATGATGTTGAGTCCTATTGTTAATACTGCTATTGGCAGTACTAGCAGGTTGACATCCTCACTAACAGTGTGATGTAGGGAAGCTTTGGCTATTCCATATTGATATAGCATAGGAGCAATATCACTTTAGATGATAAATTTTAACAACAGCATTTTTTTAATTAATCAAATATTTATTTTGGGAATTCTTTAATATAAACTATCTCAAAACAAATAAAAAATATTTATAATAATTTGTTTGATGGCAGGCAAGACAAGAAGAGGAGAAGTCATTTAAAGATCATTTTTACTCTTTTTCTTAAATATATAAGTAAATATTGAGTTTAGCCATAAACAACCACTATACAACATTAAATGAGAGTATATTCTCTTCACAAAAGGTTCTATTTTTTTTACTTTCACTTATGTATATATGAAATATATAGTAAGGGTAAGTATTGCGATCGATAAAATTTTTGAATCTGAGTTTTCAACGGAAATACACGTTTTGAGGTACCCTGAGTCGAAATGACCAAGTTCAGAAAAATGGTCTGTGTGTTTGTATGTTGGCAGTCTAGCTCAAAAACGAAAAGTTCTACGATGGCAGGCAAGACAAGAAGAGAAGAAGTTATTTAAAGATCATTTTTACTGTTTTTCTTAAATATATAAGTAAATATTGAGTTTAGCCATAAACAACCACTATACAACATTAAATGAGAGTATATTCTCTTCACAAAAGGTTCTATTTTTTTTACTTTCACTTATGTATATATGAAATATATAGTAAGGGTAAGTATTGCGATCAATAAAATTTTTGAATCTGAGTTTTCAACGGAAATACACGTTTTGAAGTACCCTGAGTCGAAATGACCAAGTCCAGAAAAATGGTCTGTATCATTGTATAATTAAGTGGTCTTTAATATCAATTAAGTCTTATCCCCATTGATGTCACTTTACAGGGCTTAAATGCCCAATGTTCATATATGTCTTCCTCTAAAGTACCTTTAATATGGTTTATTTTAAAAAGTTAACCATTTCACATTATTCAAAGTTACAGAAAAATGCTAAATATAGCTTTTGATAAGTTAATAGAGGAGAAAAAAAGTAAAAATGCAGAAAAACATGCGTTGCTATAGACTGTAGCGCCTAAAGGAATGTACCGATTTCAATGACACTTCGCTACAGTCACTTTCTCGACACCCTTTAAATTTATCTATATAACATACTTCAACGAAAAGAAGCTGGAAAAAAGTTATGAGGGATGGTTAAATTAAATTCCAAATAACTCAAAAAGTATACACTTTTATGGTGATATCATTTGGATAAATTTAAAATATACTTTTTTAATTGTTGAGACTAAAAAAACCTTTTTTCTACAGATAATTAATATATTATCTTTCCTAAGAACATTTTTCATAAGAAATAAGTACCTAAATTTACACCTGTATTCTCAGTTCTATATTTCAACACAGCACTCACCACCACCCGAATCAACTTACTCATATTCTGCCTAGATAACTTTTTCAACTAAAAATATCACTAAAATGACATCACTCAAAAATGTTGAAATTGGAGTTAGTCATTCTGAGGTTTATATAAGCAAACAAAGTTGTGTGGTTTATAAAAGCAGATGGAGTGACTAGATTTTTATTGCCTTTATTTGATATATTAAATAGACATTTTGTAATTATAATGGTCTTAATGACTTGTTATCTGTAATCTTTAAGCTTTAGCTCCGTTTAAAATGCACTTCAAAAAAATTTATGACAGCCCAGCATTGACAGAAAATAATTTCTATTCATAGTAGATCGGTAAGTGAAAGTTGTGGGTTGCGTGCACCACATTTTTTTTCTATAGGCTTGTTATTTTAGAGGTATGAATTCCAGGAAAAAAAAAAAAATTAAACTCTGGATTTTGTTCTTATTTTGAATAAGGGTGGGAGATTAATGCCAGAATTAAAAGCAACAAGATTCAAATTTTCCCTGAAAATGGAGAGAAGAATGGTTGGGGTGGTCAGTGTGGAAGAATGGTGGGGTGGTCTCTGAAAATGTTCGATCCCAAAATAAAAATTTTATAACAACAATAGACTACAGCTGAAATAATAATCCCTTAGCACATCAGAAAGTTGGTGTGTACAGTTAATATCCTCTTACAAAATATCAGTTTGTGATAAAATTTAAAGCGTCTTTCTCATTATTTAAAATTGAATTGCACTCACTGTGTTTTTCTCAAGAAAGCAAAAGAAATTTTAAATGGCAGTAGATGATTACAAGATATTATTGTAATATAATTATAATTTGTTTATGGTATAATGTTGATTGTTACAAAATTCTTTGTGCATAAGTATAGCTTTATTTCAGATTACATATTTTAAACATTATTGAATACTACTCTTCAAAGTTAAGTCTATTGTTTTCAACTACTTTCACCCTTCTTTCTGCTATTAATTGGATTTGATGCCGGTACCACGCCTTTGGTTTAGAGGCTAAGAACTTTTTACATTCTCGTAATTATCAAAGATTGAATCTTCTAAAAACTGAACCATTGATCTAATCAAACTATAATCCGATGATGCAATATCTGGGCTATATGCAGGCTGAGGCAAAACATAATGATGAGGCTTGCAGTTCTTATAATTTTTCATTGCTTAAACAAGAACGATGTGCAGGGGCATTATTGTGTAGCAAAATGACTTGGTTCCTGTTGATCAAAGCAGGGTACTTAGCAAACTCTGTCTAGCTGTTAACAGTAAAGGCTTGAATCCACTACCTCATCATCAGGAATAAGCTGAAAATTCAAAACGCCTTCGAAGTTCCACCAAACCACAAAACATCACTTTTTCCCCAAACCGATCTTGGCAAACCTCCTGCCTCCGGTTATATTTTCTAGGATTTTTAAAAAATATCCATTTTTTGTCACTTGAGGCAATTTTTTTCCAGAATCTGTCATCTGTCGGATTTCTAAGCAAAAGTATGCAAATATCATCTCGTTGCTGGGCTCAAGCCTATGTGAAGTCATGTAAGTCAAACCAAGGTCTTCAATTCTTTACGCCTAGGTTTTTAAAATGAAGAGCAACTATGGCATTATAAGCCCCTACTATGACCAATAAATCATGAGTAGTTACATGAGGTCCTGGTTCACACATTCAAGAAGAATATCACTGTAAACGAAATGGGTGATCTGATCTGGGTTCATCTGCAAGGCTCATATTCTCGATGTCGAAACACCTGAACCAAAGTGTTGCAGTATTTCTATGGATAACTGACTTTCGTATAAATTTCTTCAGTGACTGAGATCATTTTTCCAGTAATGTCTCAAATGACCATGAATCACATTTTTTTCTTGACACTGCTGGGTCAGAGATTAATGTGTTTTAAAAATGTAAATGACCCCATAAAGCCAACTCATATAACAAGGAATCAAATGATTAGTTAAAGAAAACGTTATAGTATTTTTGACATAAATAGTTCGAACAAAAACATTCTTATCGAATTAATCATGATAATTGGAATTAGAGGTTGTGTTCATGCTCAAGGACTTTTCTACGGATCTAATATAATTTATTTTCTTTTAACCTCTCTGATTTTGTATTTAAACTAAAAAAAAAAAAAATATTTTATGTTTGGGTGGTTTAACTAAATTCAACTGGGTAATTACTAAGCATTTCATTTGTGGATTAGATATATTTACAGAGTAAATGTTTTTTCACTTTAATTTCAAATTTTTCAAATATATAAAAAGAAAACCATTGCTTTATAGAGGTAATATTTTTCAAGTTTTTAATGAAAATTCTTTGTACTGGTCATTATAGTAGTATTTTAGTTATTCAGCCTCTAACTAGAAGTTCTCTAGTTTTTGGCAACAAATGAGTAGAAAATTAGCTCATTGATTTGTATGGTTACTAAAGATTTTAAAAAGTATGATCTAATAACAGTAAAATGTTACAAATTTATAAATCTTTATTTAACTATTGTCTAAATAAATAAATTAAAAAATTGTAAATTTAATATCTAAATTATCACAAAATAAATATTATACATGACTGTTGTAGTTTTTCCATAGTTATTATTAACTACTATTATAAAAAATCACATTATGCTTCTTTATTTAAATGTTCATATTCTTTGGACATTGCTGCATAAGTCTTATCAATAAGACTAGTGATGTCATCTACCTTGAGGCCAGTTGTAGAAATGGGAGGTAGGATGCTTATCACATTAGAACCTGTTTTTAAACAATGCATTGGTAAATATAGATAAACTAAGTTATGATTAAATAAATTAATTTTTCAAATTGAAATTATATTTAACAATAAATAATATAATATCATATTTTTGTTTTACTACTGATCCAATGTCTGTAGCAATATTTTAAAATATAGTTTATTAATGTTTACCTGTATCAAACCGAAATTTTTTATGATCTAGAAATTTATATCTGGTGACCACTATTGGTTGAATAGGGGCCTGTGAGTTGATTGCAATGTGGAAAGCACCTTTTTTGAAAGGGAGCAATGTAGGTCCACCATGTCTTGTTCCTTCAGGAAACATACAAATTTTGGCCTGAAATTGATAATATCATTACTAAACACATTTTTAACAATTTATTAAAAACTACACTATTTATTTATCAGTCCATATTCTTGACGCCTCTTCATTATTTTTTATTTCCTCTCCACAATTTTTCCTTTTATTTCTTATAATTACTAGTATATTTTGGAGCTGATCCCCTCTCTCTCTCTTTATCATATAATATGCCCCAGTATTGGTGAGTCTAACTAAGAATAAGTTTGGTCAATTAGTTCACCCAATATTTTGGCACATAGTATGCTGAATAGGGGGACAAAGCATCCTAGTAGTGAAGTAAAAAGTAATAATGGAAATAAAATGTTATCAATTACATTTTTAGGCAATGTTGTGCAAAATTAATAAATAATGCAATTTATTTATTTTCAGTTAAAATATTTATCATGCAATTAATTTATTTAAGACACTACTTTTATGTTTTTCACATTAGGTGAATTATCAGTGCTAAAATTAATGATATTGTTTATTCATGACATGATATTTGTTTTCTTTTATTTTTTTTTCTGTGTTACTTAATGATGAGCTGATATAAAGATTTAGTGAGTTCTATAATAAATTTTTATTCCACTTCATGTTTTAATTTTGATTTGTTATTATTAACATGTTTGAATGGTTGGTAAGCTAATCTATTGATGAAAATGAAGAGAGAAAATCAGTACATTATACTTTTTCTTTTCAGTATAAATATAAATATTTACATACCTAATGATGATTAATATTTTTAAATTATACGTATACCTTTTTGGTGTTGATGGTATGTGCAACTAAGTTGACTGCCTCTTGGGCATCTTTTTTATTTGACCTATTGATGAAAACAGTCCCCCATAACCAAGCAGCCAAACCAAATGGCCATAAGTAAAATATTTCTCGCTTAGATATTACTGTACATCTTTCGAATACAGGCCAAATCTCAGCTAATACTGAAATTTAAAAAAATGTGTACTGCTTAATGGGTCTGGTTATTTGTAAATAAAAAGTTGAAATTCATTGGTTATTACATGTATCTTAGTAAATATACCTAAAATGTATCTGGTTAGGTGTCATCTAATAGATCTTTAAATTACATAACTTTTCCTATATTATTCATTAGCTGCTCAGACAAACATTGTTTTAATGTTTCAAAAGCTACATAATAATTATCATGGATTGATCTATAGTGTATAAGAGATGAAAAATAGATAATTTATTGATTTAAATATATATAGTTAGTGGAGGAGATCCCTTATCCAGCTTCTTTTGAGCTACTTATGGGTGTTATCGGGCGTGTTGGTTGTGGCCATGCTTAGAATCAGTGAGTTAGTATCTCCGTGAAAATTATAGTAAAATGTTTTGTAGTGTGGTCGTCAACTGTTGGCATCTGTTAGTCTTTATATAAAGTAATGTTACTGATACACCAGGGATCTTCTGTTATAGTCCTGAAAGTTTATGATTGAAAAGTTTAGTGTTTACTTATGTGGGTCTTTTTGGCCTTCCCATATATCCGTGAAGCATAGGTCCAAATGGGCTTCAGTAAGTGTATATATTCAATTTCTGTCTGAGTTTTAATTTTGAACATCTAGAAGTCGTATTCTTAGATTTAGAATTTTTGTTTTGTTCTTGAAATGTGGGACCCATGTCATTTTATCAAATGTCAGATATTGAACTTTAGCTTTTGTCCAATGAATTTAGACATTGTTGAGGTAAGTAGGAGGGCAAGTTTCAGGTCAGAGTTAAAGTAATATGTTGTGATTTGTCAAGGTTGAATCAAATTTTCTCTTCTTGAAATCTTGAAAGACAGTATGGTAGAAGAACTTCCGGATTTATTTTCTGAATATTGTTAGGTATATGTTCAGCATTGACTGGTCGGAGATCACATCTGTCAAATCAGCTCTAACTAAATCTTTCATTGAAGAAATTAAATGTGACAAATCAGGTTGTTTTTTTTTTTTCAACACTATATGATATTAAAATTAATTGAATATATTTGCCTATTCAATAATCCTCAAACCTCAGTTATTTCTATTTATTTAGATTAATCTTAATCTTAAAAAAATGGGTGCGGGTTGGTTCTGCCTGTGGTAGATTTATCCTGTTAAATCAGTCGTGATTCAACCCTTGGGTTGAGAAAATCTCCTGGGGCACATTCTAAAGTGGGTCTCTTAATTGAGAGAATACCTGCTAATTGAGCCTGATATTGACCAAATCACTTACTTGTATAACCATATGTCTAGAAACATACTTCCTTATAAAATACCAATCCAAGATCCTTTAAGGATTGTAGTGTTATAGGTTAAAAATTAATCTTATTTGATGTAGCACAATTAAAAATGATAATTTAAATAAACTTTTTAAAAACTATATGGCATTTATGTATTACCTATTAAATCAAGAAAACTCTGATGATTGATTAGGATTATTGTTCCTTCATCCTGTACAATATTTTTCTTTCCTTGTACCTTCCATTTCAATCCTAAGGCCCTTGCAACTTGTCTTGCTCCCCATGCCGGAAATCTGAAAAAAATGGACGTATTATTACATGATTTTAAGCACATAAACGCATACTGGTATTTATTTAATTTAATGTTTTACAAAATATTTCTATTTCTCTATATATTTTTATTAGCTGTTATTAACTATCAATTGTGAGCATTTTGGAAATTAGATTATTCAGAAATGAATATTTCATACTCTATTTATAAAGTATATCCCATAACAACCTTAGTACCCAAGAAACTAAGGCTAGAATTATGTACTATTATATATATCCGTGTCAAAATCATTAAAAGCTGACTTGTCCGGCCTTATTTGCCAACATACCACCATTGAAGTATCAAAACCACCAACATTTTCCAATCGCTTTTAGTAAAGTTGCAGTGGAAATTTAAGGATTAAAATTATAATTTCTCCATGAAATTTCCTTTCTTTTGACATATCCTTTATCAAATTTAGTATAATTTTATATATATATGTATATATACAGGAGCTGGGTTAGCGGTGCGGGCCAAGGCACTTTTTATAGGTAACCAAGTTCAGCAACACCGAGTATGGTTAGCACTTGGATGGGTGACCGCACCATATGGGGGGGCAGTCCACCAGGGAAAGCCACACCGTCCGAGACCCTCCACTGGGTATGTGAGGCAACTGACACTGACCAGGCATAGGACTGATGAGCCTACCCCCATGTACTTAAATCAGGAATCGGGATGTGGTCTAGGAGACCTCATCTCGGGGTCAAAGATCTGCATGGTCTGTAGCACCAATGGTTTACATTTCAGTAGCCCCTGAGGTTTGGTCCATGGATGGTCTGTTTCAGGAAAAGAAATATAGGCCCTTGTGTGCCTGCTGACTCTGAGCAGCCATATCCCATGGATCTAGAGCGACTTTTCACTGTCCTTGAACCCAAATGAGTTGGTGGGAAGAACACTGCCAAATTGGCCCCAAAGGGATCAGCTATGGAACTATGGGTGGCTTGCCGCTGCACCATGGAGATCATGGTTCATAGCAATGTGAGATTGGGTGGTCCGCTTCAGACTATCTGTGCTCCCGCAAGTAATATACGTCTGTAAGTAGACCATATCTCGTGGCCAAAGATCTTCATGGTCTATAGCGTCAACCGAAAAAAAAAAAAGATGTATATATTTTTAGTTATTTAAGACAAATTGTCGAAAATATGTTTATAAATAAAGATTCACCCCTTTTACTGTAAAGCTGTTTATTTTAGTTATTAAAATTTAAATTACAGAGCATGCTACTTACAGAGCATTGCGGTAGTCACGTGGCCTCAAAAACATCACTGGCATGAAAATAGTTGCAGATACCATTGAAAAGATTAAGAAGAACAAAAATTTTGCATAATAGTTGAAGACGTTGCTTTTCTTAAACATTATGTAAATTATTCCAACTATAATTGCAATAAGTGGAAGTTCATTGGTCATTTTTTCTATTTTATATCTACCTGCAAGGTAAGTGAAAAAATTTAAAATACTAATTTTAATTATAAATAAAATACTTAATGCTCACTTAAACAAAATAAAATTAAGAATTGAAATTAAAAAACAATTGATATATCTAGGTGTAAAAAGTTTTCAATTTACAATAATTTAATTTCCTAGAAGTTTAAGCCTAGTTTTTTTCTTATCCTTCATAATAATATTACGGAGAATCATAAAAAAAAAAAAAAACGAAGCTTAAATTTCTAGGAAACAAATTTATAAACTATAAATTCTTTCCCAGATTTTTATATTAATTAAAAAATATAAAATCCATCAAGATTTGGTGATCTATCACTATACTAGACAGCATGAATAAAACAGTAGTTAGTAAAAGATTATTTAAGTTTATAAGATTAGGAATCTCCAATAGTATGGAAGAAGTACCCAAAAAACTAAATCAGAAATGATACAATACACAAGACAAGTCTAGTAACCTTATTATTATTTTTCTACTCTACCCTGCTTGATGGCAGTATAGGCTGCAGACATAAAAAAAAAAATATATGGTAGACTGAAATGCTACACTAAAAACCTTTATGTGAAATTTAATTATCTTTTTCTTCCATTGAATTTTAAATAAATATTGTAGATCATCCAACTTCTCATTGACTTTCCTGTAGAACTGGTTTCTTTCACTTATGAAATTTTTACATCTCTCAAAAGATACATTTAATCCTGTAGTCAATTATTATTAATAATTTTACAAAAACATTCAGTTGCCTTTCAACATTTTAATTAATTCATAGGACATTGTCTAATAATATTGTTTCATTATTATAATTTATAGGATGAAAAATTTGATTAGTCTTAGATTATGTATCTATTTATAGATAAATATTTCGACCTTGACCTTATGTTACCAAATCTTGACAGTATTGATGAGCTGTTATGATTATCAAATTGGAATGAATGTTATTTTAATTATTTTGGTTTGCTTCTAACCCCATTGTTGTTACCAAGTAAGAAAAATTTAATTAATTTGTATTTGTATATGTGAGTCAGTGGAAGTCAGTGGATCACTGATTTCAGCCAAATTTTGTTTGGTGATACTACAGCGAAAAATATTTAAAACATATCCCAAAGTTGGTTCCTATAGGCTCTAGGAGGTGATAAAAAGATATTTTATATAATTTTAAACAAAATTTATTTTTGCCTTTGCTTTATCCAGATTTTTAGGGTATTATGAAATGAAATGAAAAAAATATTTTAATATTCTGGGACTGTTGTCCCTTTAGAACAAATTATAAATCCAGATTGTATGACTGTGTGGTTACAATTAGATTATATATTTACAATAAGAGTTGACTAAAAATAAAAATATTAAAGAAGAGAAAGAATAGAACAAGAAAAAACATATATATGAGAAACTAAAATAACCTAAATAAATTGAGGTAGTCTCTGGGGGTGCTTAGATATTTTTCTTCAGTATATTTCGCAATCAGTCGGATTTAGAAAGGAGTAGGTGTTTACAGAGGAGAGGTTTAAAAGAGGAAACCGATTGAGCGTGTCGAATATCAGCAGGGATGGAATTCCAGAGGGAGGCGGCTTGTATTGCAAAAGATTTGTCAAACGCAGCAGTTCGGTGAGGAGGAAGATAGAGGTCGGAAGTACGAGATCTAGTGGGACGGGATTGGATGGAGTATTTGAATTGTAAGTTGTGAAAAATATAGGAGGGTCGATGAGTTCTAATGATTTGGTACAGAAAGGTGACTAGGAAGTACTGACAGCGATAGGATGAGTAGAGCCACCTCAACTCAGTGTTATACTGGGTAATATGCGTATCCGTTGAGATTCCAAAAACAAATCGTATTCATTAGGCGTTTAAGTTTGGCCTCGGAATCTCCCGAGAGTCCACCGTTCACCAAACAGCCATAGTCGAAGTGGGGGAAAACAAGGGAGGAAACTAAGAGTTGACGGGTCTTATATGGAAGGAGATATCATAGAGGATTGAACTGTTTTAGGGTGGAGATAATGCGATGGGAAATTTGGGAGACTTACAGCATGTATGTTAGAGAGTGTAATTCGATTGAAAATAAATAGGAAGCTGGGTCAACCTTTTACAGTGAAGTCAGGAGTTAGACAGGGAAACCTTCTTTCGCCACTGCTATTTAACATTGCTCTCTAAGTCATGGTGAAAAGAGCCAAGTCTAATCAGTCTGGTACAATGTTTAATAAGTGTTTGGTTATGCTGATGATGTATCTCTTTTTGGGTTGTCCCTCAAGGCTGAAGAATAAAGGAGACCTGTGAAGGGTTAGAAAGTGAAACAGAAAGAATGAACCTTTCTATAAATGAAAAGAAAATGAAAATTATAGTGCTTAGAAAGAAAATGCCCATGAACCCACCAAAGCATTATGTAGTGAGTGGGAAATTACACATTCCAATGTGTGTCTAGTTTTAATTATCTTGACTCGATAGCCAATGATCAGATAAAGGAAGTAAAAAATCAGAATATGGGAGCTAACAAAGCATATTTTGTCCTATGATATTTTCCTCCATATTAAACTGTTAAGTCGGGGTACCAAAATTGTTATACAAAACAATCATACGACCCTTATTGATCTATGCCTGTGCAACCTGGATCTTGCATAAGACCTTGGCTGAAAATATTGATAGATTTGAGAGAAAAGTATTGATTTACACCATGGGTCCTACCAGAGAAAATGGTTTCTACCTACCGTTTGATAAGGATCAAAGAGATCTATGAGTTATATGACAATCTTCGAATTTCATATTTCATGTGAATTCAGCTCTTCAAATGGCTGGGACACGTAAATAAGATGAATGATGGTAAAGCAGCCAGACAATTATATTATGGAACCCCGGACGGAGTCAGACTGCGTAGAAGACTGAAGAGAAGGTGAGAGGACTCCGTTGCTGAGGACTTGAGGATGGTCGAAGTGTCCAGTAGACTTGCTATTGACCGCCATCACTGGGAAAATCCAGTTGAGAGGACCAAGAACAGCTTTAGGCACCTGTTGAGATGATAAATAAAAATATTTTTATATAGGATGGCTGAGCAGACTAATGCATGTGCGAAACACTCGTCAGGCAAACAGATGATTGATAAACAAAAGTTTTCAAGAAATAAAATCATTACAACTTCGCATCCCAGTGCTGGGAGGGGGTGGAGGAATTTTAACTTTGACGTCAATACCCCTCCTCTCACTCTGACCCGGAAAATGTAGGTCTAAAAAAGATCTTTAAAAAAATTATAGTAAATAAAAAAATATCTGTAATTAATAAACATTGTGAAACATATATAACATTGTTAAATATTAAAAAACTTGATAAACATTATAAAACTGAGTGAAGAATATTTAATAATAATGTTTATACAAATTAGAATCTTAATAATTAACATTACTCGTTCACAAGAATACTTTGTCAAGAACGAGATGTGGTGGGAGTCAATAAACAAAAAACCATCAAATAAATTCCAATTATTTGATATAGACATTCTGACGCACATTGTAGGTCTTCCTCTGGGTAGAATTACTTTTGAAATAAATAGCTGAATTTTACTAGTAATATCCCCACTGGAAAATATTGTTTTTAGTTTAAATTATTTTTTGGCAGCTTAACAATAAGATCCAGCTATCGGTAAATTTATACTAACCCAGTGTTGTAATTACTGTGACTTATTAAGTTTATACAAGAGGAACAAGATCCAATAGAAGCCAGTTTTTAATTCAAAACTTCATCACCACTACAGCCATATTAATAACCAAGAAAATTACAATATATCCATAAAACGTGTTTACTTTTAGTAAAATTATAGTATCTGTGACACCCAAGGGATCTCAGAACTATTCTCCTTCATTAAAGTTTTTAATAGATTTTTAGTTTGTTGTAAATTACAATAAATCGCTATATCTTAATTTTTAAAAACTTAAATGACTCTTATGGCACCTAGGCTTTCAGCAAGAATTATGGCTTATCTAAAAAACAGTACATTTTATAGCTTTAAAATGCAGGATCAGTCATTTTCCTATGGAAATTTACTGAGTCTTGATGTTCAAGTTGAAATCATTAAAATGCAATCTGTCCTGTCTCGATCCATAAACTTACTAATATCGGAGTTTGATTAAGTTGACCATCTACTTTTTTGATTACTTTTATTAAAATTGTGGTACAAATTTAAGTATCAAAATTGGAACTCCTTACTTTTCTATGAAATTCAATTTTTTTTTCACACCTCGTATATCAAAATCCACTGCTTCTGCGATGCAGAAAATAGATCTTTATTACTATATTATAAACTAGCTAATGTACCCGTCATTGACGGCTGTATAGTTAAAATTTGAGAATCTTTTTTTGAAATGGATTTTGTATTTTGAGGGAAGGGTCCAAATTCAATTTCATAAAATTGGATTGGGTGAGAGGAGAGGGTTATTTTGAATTTTTTTATGGCGGGCTTATCAAAGTCATGGTTTTGCAATAGTCATATCAAAAACTTTGTTATTCGGCTATTTTTTTAGGTATTACACAACTAAACCGACCACCATCAATTCATTAAAATTTGTTGTGTTCAATTTTCAGTTATGATGAAGCGAGGAGATTGTGGAGTCGATTAATTAATCAAAAAGAGTTGTGGTCTCTCCCACTTCTTTAAACCCTGCTGAGTTTATCGCTGGCATAATAACATTGGACATTGAGTCACCTGCATCCATGTAAAATTAGAACTTAATCTGAAGATTGTGGTGGGCGGGGTGAAATTTTTGGGAGTTTTTCCTGATTTCCGGCTAATCTGTTAATCCTAAAAATTTATATGACAACATTTGTTAGGCTCGGGAAATTGAATCGAATGACACCTTGAACAACAATGCATTATAGATGTTCAAATTCCAGATTTTTTCTGTTGAGTCGTGATAATTTTTTCCATCAGTAGAATAGTATAACTTTTTAATGTGGCTCACAATAGAGTATATTGGGATGGGAATCAAAGTAAGTAATTGCCTAACC